TGGGGAATGAGCACAGATGTAGAGTCCTGCATACGCTTACCAACCCGCCCAGAGACTGGACGGGCTTGAGAGGACGCATCACCGGCCAGTTGGTTCTCGATCACTCTACCAGAACAGATGAAACGCTGATACTCATATGTGGTCCAGAGGCGATGGAGAAGACCATGCGTGAAGCGCTGCTGGAGCAGGGTTGGCGTGATGACCAAGTGATGGTCTTTTAGAAGTTTGCGTTGTCACCGATCAGGATTGGCAGGACATTGTCATTGCGTAGGGCAGGCTGCACTCCCATAGGTGATTCTAGGCCATCCAACGGGTCGTACTCCGCATAGTCAAGATAATTCTGAGAGCACGGGCTGATTCCATGAAGATATAACCAGCATGGAGAGACATTGAGCGGACATGACAATCTCACGTGATGGGAAATATCTTCGAGGTGTTTCTATCATACCAGTACATTACGGTAATTTTTACTGACCGTGACAGCGCCAATGTATTAATCAAGACATGCTAGTCAGCATGTTATCGCAACGTCTCACAACCACTCAAGTCTCGACTTTTCTCCCCTTCTCCAGCCCCGGTCTTCTTATCTCTCACGCTCCACCACCTCTCGTCAAATCTCCAAGGACCATGGAGAAAAGCCATGGTCAACATCTCTGTTCGTAGTCTCGCAGTCGCTCCTGTCCGTGCTTGTGCGGACGACTCAATGACGATAGAAAATGACAATGTGATAATTCGCTATTGGCTGTTGCAGAACACTCCAATTGGGACTGGGAGCAGCAGTTCCTCGCCTGGGATCTACGTCCCAAAGTCTCGCTGATAGGCTGACGTTTCCACCTTCCCAGCTCCCAGTAAATATTACCCAAGCTCCCCGCGGAGATCGTGGTCTCTGTGGGTTGCGGCGTCGCGTCACCGACCTGGGAACATGGCAAACTGAGATCAGGTCGGCTTGTGGACAAGTTTCTTTCTTTTCTCTGACACTCTTCTAGTACCTGATGTGACATTCTTACTTGAAGCAGAGCATTTGTATCCTGAATAATGCGACTGCGTTGACTTACTCGCAGTTGTGCATTATTCGAAGGGTATCAACCGGGCAGGCTGAAGAGAAGTGGACAACATGTCATGGCCAACAACATCGCCTGATATGGCTATCAACCGCTACCCGGAACAGGTGGAATCCCACGGTGATGGAAAGCCGACCTCAGGTCAAAGGAAGAAGGTGGTGGTTGTCGGTCTGGGAATGGTCGGCATAGCCTTTGTGTAAGTTCACAGACGGCGTTGGGCCAGGATACGACGAACCTGGGAACCAGATCAGAGCATCCAGCTAATCGCCGCTTGACAGAGAGAAGCTCCTCAAACTCGATGCCCAGAGGAAAGAATACAACATCGTGGTCATTGGCGAGGAACCTCATCTCGCCTACAACCGCGTCGGATTGACCAGCTTCTTTCAGCACAGACGAGTCGAGTCGCTTTACCTCAACCCGGAGTCTTGGTATAAGACCCACGCAACAGACTCTTTCGGCTACCATCTGAACACGCTCGTGACCGAAATCAAGCCGGAGCAGAAAGTTGTGGTAACAGCTTCAGGTGATACGATACCTTACGACACCCTTGTTCTGGCTACGGGGTCCGATGCCATTCTCCCACGGCATACCCCCGGCCATGATGCAAATGGAGTGTTTGTATACAGAACCATTGACGATCTTCAGAAGCTCATCGCCTTCGCGACGACCGTCAAGGATACAACAGGCTGCGTCGTGGGTGGCGGACTCCTAGGTCTCGAAGCAGCCAAAGCCATGATGGACCTGGAGGAATTCAAGCAGGTCAAACTCATTGAAAGAAACAGATGGGTCCTGTCGCGGCAGCTCGATGGAGATGCTGGTGCCATGGTCGTCGAGCTCGTCCGCAATCTCGGACTCGACGTTATGCTTGGCAAGAGGGTTGGAAGAATCTTGACCAACGAGGACAACGCTGTGAGGGGTGTTGTCTTCGAGGACGGCGAGGATATGGAGTGTTCCTGCATCATGTTCGCCATCGGCATCAAGGCGAGAGACGAGTTGGCCAGGGCTGCGGGTTTGAAGTGCTCCGACCGAGGAGGTGGTGTCGTGGTCGATGACGATCTCAGGACGAGTGACCCAAGCATATACGCAATTGGCGAATGTGCAAGCTGGGGAGAGCAAACGTTTGGTCTTATCGCACCAGGGATCGAACAAGCCGATGTCCTATCATTCAATCTCACCCAAGCCAAGTTCCACAGCCCTCGGACCTTTAAACGGCCAGATTTGAGCACAAAGCTGAAGTTGTTGGGTGTCGAAGTCGCCAGCTTCGGGGATTTCTTTGCCGACAGAGATGGACCGAAGGATCTTCCGAAGAGGCACGTCAAGCGGCAGGAGAAGAGAGCCGCGGACAAGCACCTCACCCATGGGTCTATACCTCCGGCCGTTAAAGCGATCACCTACAGAGACCCATTTGCGGCTGTATACAAGAAATATTTGTTCACCGTGGACGGCAAATATCTCCTTGGTGGTATGATGATCGGCGACACGAGGGACTATGTCAGACTGGTGCCGATGGTCAAGGACAAAAAGCAATTGGAGGTGCCTCCATCTCAATTCATCATCGGTGCATCAAAAGATGGCGAAGAAAGTGGCGACGACCTGTCAGACGACACACAAATCTGTTCTTGCCACAACGTCAGCAAAGGCGACGTCGCGAGCGTGGTCAAGGACGGCTCCTGCAAGTCGATTGGCGACGTCAAGTCTTGCACCAAGGCGGGCACAGGCTGCGGTGGGTGCATGCCTCTAGTTCAGTCTATATTCAACAAGGCGATGAAAGACATGGGTCAAGAAGTTCTGAACCATATTTGTCCTCACTTCAGATACTCACGGGCTGACCTCTACAACATTGTGTACGTCAAGAAACTGAAAGACTTTGGCGCAGTCATGAGATCCAGCGGCACCAATCCAGACAGCCTCGGATGTGAAGTGTGCAAGCCAGCCGTTGCGTCGATTCTCTCCAGCATGTTCAACAAGCACGTTATGGAGAAGCCACTTCACGGACTGCAGGATACCAACGACAAGTACCTTGGGAATATTCAGCGCAATGGAACGTTCTCTGTCATACCCCGTGTTGCTGGTGGTGAGATCAGCCCTGACAAACTCATCGTCATCGGCCAAGTTGCGAAGAAATACGGCCTCTATACCAAAATCACTGGTGGCCAACGCATTGACATGTTTGGTGCAAAGAAGCAGGATCTCCTCGATATCTGGTCGGAGCTTGTGGCAGGTGGACTCGAATCGGGCCACGCCTATGCCAAATCTCTCCGCACGGTCAAGTCGTGTGTAGGTACCACTTGGTGCCGCTTCGGCATCGGAGACTCGGTCGGTCTTGCTATCCGGCTGGAGGAGAGGTACAAGTCGATTCGAGCACCACACAAGATCAAAGGTGGCGTTTCCGGATGCGTCCGAGAATGTGCAGAAGCCCAAAACAAAGATTTCGGGTGCATTGCCACAGAAAAAGGCTTCAACATCTTCGTGGGAGGTAATGGCGGCGCGACGCCGAGACACTCGGAAATCCTGGCCAAAGACGTCCCCCCAGACGACGTCATCCCCATCCTCGACCGTTACTTGATGTTCTACATCCGAACAGCCGACAGGCTTCAGAGAACGGCTCGGTGGGTAGAAAATCTGCCTGGTGGTATCCAGTATCTGCGCGAGGTTATTCTAGAGGACAAGCTCGGCATCTGTGCGGAACTCGAGAAACAAATGCAAGAGCTTGTTGGGACATTCTTTTGCGAATGGACGGCAGTACTGAACGACCCGGAGAAGCGGAGAGCGTTTCAGCAATTTGCAAACACGGCAGACAACAGGGAACCTGCTGTGGAAAAGGTCGAGGAGAGAGGCCAGTTCAGGCCCGCGTACTGGAGCAAGGACTCGGTAGACGAAGACTTCAAGGGAACCCGGTGGTCCAGTCTTACGTGGCAACCCATTGTCGAGGCGAACAAGTTCCAAGACCTGGACACTGGCTCGTCACAAACCGTGATACGGGGCGACACGCAACTCGCCATCTTCAAACTAAAGGGCAAATACTACGCCAGCCAGCAAATGTGCCCGCACCGCCGAACCTTTGGACTCTCGGACGGCCTCGTGGGTGAAATCACCTCGCCCGGCTGCAAAGACAGCAAACTCTACGTCAGCTGCCCGTACCACAAGCGGAATTTCCAGCTGAACGGCGAGATTGAATTTGGTAAGAAGGATGCGGGCGCCGGCTCGTGCTCCAACGACAACAGTTTGTCCATCGCCACGTTCCCGGCCGAGGAGCGGGATGATGGTTGGGTGTACCTCAAGCTGCCGCCTGTGCAGGAGATGGACAATGTGCTTGGAACAAGCAAGTGGATGGTCAAGCAGGATGAAACACCGAGTCCCTTTGCCCGACTTGACAAGAGGCTCGGGTACGATAAAGGGCTGCGGCCCCAGAAGACGGTCGGGCCCTTGTCTGGGACTGGAAATGTGCGGGCTGGACGAGAAATCGGGGTGGCGGCGCAAAGGAGGATTGACTGGTAGTCTGTAGACAATCGGGCGATAAGACGTCAGGAATAGATACATTGTGTACCCGAGGACCATTCCATTCTCTTTATTCTTCACACTCAACTGTTAACACGCTTCCCGATCTCCAGGAGGTCGGCATTGGTCTTAAAAAGAGAGTCCATGACCAGACTGTCCGAGAAAAAGTGTCAGCCTTGTCACAGAAAAGAGTGCAAGGCTGAGAGCCAATCCAGCCAATCACATCTGAGGGACTTCGGCACTTTTCGGCTCTTAGCGCGTTTCGCATTGTCTTGCTGACTGGCAACATTTCTCATCAACCCGACCCAACTTATCCTCTTCCGCCTATTTGTGTCCATAATTGGTGAGGAAAGAACATGCAGGTATTGCTTTGAGCCTAAGGAACAAAGTTGGAGTCGACAGAGAGAACGCGGAAGGGAGGGGGCGCCAAGCAGCTTCGTTATGAGCGGGGCATTGAACTCGCGCCACCGACAATATGAGCATCTGATTCTCTCTACGGGTCTCTTTGGCACGCTTCTTCTCCAGCTCGTCGCCGCATACACGGTTCCGCAATATGTTCTGGACCATGGTGAGTTGTGTCCGAAGAAAAGAAGGCAAGGCCAACGACGTTTCCCGTTGTGACACTGTCGGTCGGTCGCCTGAGGTCACCCGGCGAGATTGAAGCGATCGTATAACCTTGCTAGCGAAGGAAATATTTTGCATTGGCTAACCAGCTCTCTTCTTCAGCCCCAATCGTCTGGCTCCACTCCGACGACCCGTACATGCCAAGTGACATCTTGACGCATATCTTGCACACGTCCCCGAGGATCGGCTTTGAACCAATCACCGAGGCGACACCGCTGGCAAGCCTCGAGAATCTGTCGCTGTTGAACGCCTACGGCAAAGATGGGACCGACGTCTTCTTGACGGCGGTGGATGACGTGTCGACCTTCCCGGACTGGGTGCTCGGCGAGACACCTGATGCGGCGACGGGTGCCCTTACCAATTCTACAGCGTGTGCGGTTGTCGTGGTGGAGAAGACGACGAAGAAGGGAAAACATGTCGACCCCCAGCAGGGTCAGCAAGAAGTACTAGTCCTGGACGCTTTCTACTTCTACTTCTACTCGTGGAACGAAGGGGCGGATATCTCGCAGGTCCTTCCGCCGCTGAACAGGTTGTTCCCGGACAGTAAGCCGGGCGATCACTATGGAAATCACCTGGGCGACTGGGAACACAACATGGTCCGATTCCAGGACGGGAAGCCGACGGGGATCTACTTCAGCCACCACACCAGCGGCGAGAGCTGCGCGTGGGAAGACGAAGCGTGCCTTTCGAAGCAGGGGGAGCGACCCGTCGTGTTCAGCGCGCGCGGATCCCACGCAAACTATCCTTCGGCGGGGAGCCATGTCCACGACGAAGCCCTCATCGACGTCGCAGACCAGGGCCGGATGTGGGATCCCATCAAACGAGCCTATTTTTACCGTTACGACCCTCAGACAAGCGGACGGGGAATCTTCACCGCCGCAGACCCCGCCGGCGCCGACCCGACCGACTGGCTCAACTTCAACGGCAATTGGGGCGACAAGCAATACCCGGACACGGACCCGCGACAAGAGACGGTCCCGTATTTTGGCCTGAAGAAATTCAACAGCGGCCCCAACGGACCCAAGTTCAAGCACCTGGTGCGTAAAGGCCTGGTGCCCGACGTGGGCGAGAAGCCCAACCTCATCAAGACCCTCGTGCACTGGTACATGGGCATGTACGGGTGCTGCCTGAAGGGGATCAACCCGTGGGTCGTCGTCGTCGTGGTAGTGCTTGTCGCGGCCGTGTCTGTTGCACTGTGCGTCTTTGCGTGCAAGAGGGTTCGGCCGCGGTTGAAGGCGTGGATTCTCAAGAAGACGAAGAGGAGGAAGCACGACGAAGCTAAAGATACCGCTGATGTTCAGCTTCGTCTGCTTGATCCCGACGGGGTGGAAGCGGAGGATGATCCCGAGGTGCTTGGTATAGATAGATAGATGGAATGGCCGCAATGTAACTCTGGAGGTTCGTTCCGCGGCGTGCTGGATGCTGTTCCGGGCTGTCCGAGCAATACGCTATACCACTGACTCAGTGAGCAGTCCTAATGGCCACTCGGTCCTATATACCAATCAATATAGATTATGGTGAACGCCACCAGATGATGTCAATCGATGAGTAGTTGTATAATGCACAGACCATACGAAGGATGTGCTGTCTCGCAGCGGATAGCTATACTTAGTCGCTCGTTTGGACCAGGTACTAAACGTAGTCGGTATGATTTCCCTCGAGCAGTTTGAAAAGATTCCACGATCTCGATGTTCAGCCTCACCGGGTCACTATTTGCAAGTTGCTATTGAGGTCGTGACGTCTCAGTGCTGACTCGTACGTTAGGTGATCGCCCTATTTCCAAAGCCTACGCCGCCGACTACGAGTAAACGGCTTTGGTCACTCTCGATATCTCCACGAAACCCCACGTCTGCCGTTCCCCTTCCTGCGCCATATCACAGAATGGCCGCGCGTGCCGTGCCTCATCAGCAACCGACATGGCAGCTGGCGTTGCGAAGCGAGACGGAGGTCGCACGACACCTGGCCAACTGCTGGCCAGGCCTGGTTCGTCGAGCCGTGGGAAATCCTTCAGGGAACTCAATAACTGATTGACTCTCGGGCAAGCGGCATCGTTCTGCCAACAGCGGCGACGCCGACAATGACAACGACAGCAAAAACAGCGGCAAGCCTCGAAACAACACCATAGCGCCAAAGTCAAACCCGAAGGCCATACACTCTCATTTTGAAAACCCGGGGGACAAAAGAACCGTTCGGTGTCTCTTACACATTAGTGATGCTTGATTGCCGATGCAACCAGGGAAACGGCGACGTTCTGTGGACAGAGGCGAACCAAACCACGAGGCGGAACGGCTGCGGCACAGCTCGACTCGGTATACAGAGTCGAGGACAACACCTGACATGGATATTTTCATTTTAAAACTGGCTAGACGATTCCTCCTGGTCCCGGGAAGCCTCCATACAGAACGGAACTCCAAGAGTCACGTCCGGTATACCCTGCAAACCTGCCCCTGTCATTTCATCCCCTGAGGGCAGCTTGGAAATAGCACCATAAGCTCGCCCAGGGAGTCCGAGACGACCACTGCGAGTGTGCATGACACGGATTATCGGCAATCATTACGCTATCGCATCATCTTTGTTGAACGCGAAAATCCTCCGCCAGAGCTGATACGGAAGGCACAGAGAATAGTGTCACGCTCCCGAGCCCGGCCTGAGATGGAGGATGCCATTATTGGAGAGTTGAAGCAAACGTCTCGAAGACTCCAAGATCCAGGCGAGGATACAATCATCAAACAGCTGGTACCTGATATTATTCCACCTGTGGAAAGTATCCCCGACCACAGACTGGAAGATGAACGAGATCAAGCCTTGTTCGACTCTGCCCCTGCGCCGCTCAACCAAAACACCATGCGCTATCTAATATGCTGCCATAGCATTCATCTGAAGATGCCAAACCTAAGAGGAGAGTCAGGCTTACACATAAGGTGCTAGGTAGCACTTACGGCGATATGAGTGCACATCGGAGACGATCAGGCGGTTACGAGGACTGCCTTTGGCATGAGAACACAATGTCGCGATCTCCCGTGCAGCTAGAGTATAGCACTACTTGTATTCTTCCATGATATTGTTCCCCTTCGGTTCACTCATCACGAATGGTTGACCTAAAGAGGCATCACCAAGACATGCACGACTGCGGCCGCGCTGTCAATTTGTCCGTGGCCGGAAGCCCTGTCCAGTGCTTGCCATCCTACTCGATTCATGCTTACTTGTAGCCGCCGGACAGTACTGTATATGCTATGTGTTCTCGCCCGTCTGGATTACAACTGTGGCTGCACAGGGGATGGGCTCTGCGTGAAAACTTGCGGAGATGAAGAGTGCAGCTGGGTTGGGGAAACATCCAAGCACCACTTGGTTTTTGACATGTGTAAGATACTCCGTTGTTCCGTTTCCATTTTCAAATTGAATACGCCTGGTTTGCTTTGCTGGCTCAAAAGCTCGAAAGGTGATATCAATAACATGACTGCCATACAAAGACTGCATCAGCGCCGAGATCCGTTCATCTCCTGGTAAATACCGTGCTCTTTTAATTGCTCGAGAGCGTCGAGCACCCAGTGTCGACAGTCCCTTCGCACGACGACTCCCTCTATCTCCTGATTGCGGGGCACAGGGATCGAGCGACAAATGCCGTCCACTTTGGACAGATTGGCCTGTGCCACGGTGCCCTTTTCGTACTTCATGTAGAACTGCCCCGAACCCTCGATATCGTCGCGCTGTCCCGCGTCGTATTGCCATCCGGGGCCGTGGCCGCCCATGACCTGATAAATCCACCCCTTGCCCTGTTCCGCTTCGATGTAGACTGCGTCGTGGAAGACGGGCATCGACTTGAACCGCGCGATATAGACCTTGTAGGAGGCCATGACCTCGGTGTCCGGGGCACGGCTGAGGGAAGGGGGAGGATACCCGGGAATGCGTGGGACGTCTTGGTCGGAATGGCCCCCGGAAATTGCTGCACCGCCGCGCTTCGATTTCTTGGCCAATAACTCTGCGTACCGATTAAAACTGTAGCAGCACAGTCTCTGCAGGGGATCACGAATTAGGGCCAAAGCCCTAGCTTGGAAGGATGAGTTTGCACAAGGGAGAACAAACCCTGGGATGTGTTTGCTGGTGATGCGGATATTGGTGAATCCCATCTGGTGTCACTCAAGTGTTGGGTGAGTGTCACCCATTCAGAAAATGACTAAGCGCCAAGACATAAGACCCATATAGCTTGGCGGGGTCGGCGCGAGCCGCAAGTGAACGCCGCGCCAAATTTAATGTCGCCGAGCCCGCGACCTTGTACCAAACGTTCACAACCCTGAACAAGACATAGCCACAGTTGTCGCGCAGACGCCCTCATATCTAGTAGAGCACGATATGGCGGCAGTCGAAGCATTTCCACCTCAAAAGGGTCGAGATGCAGGACAGATTTCGCGCCCCGACGACACATGTCCAAATCGCTCAAAACGACCGAAGCGCATCCATCATGATAGACCTCTCTTTCCCCCAGCTTTCTGGGACAATTTGTCAAAAATTCACCTAGACAAGCACGCCCTGAAAGAGTTAGATAGAAGAAATGCGCAACTGGCAGCAAGTTCTTGTTCACCATACGGAACGCGACACCTTTTCGATCCCGCGACCACTAGTGATGCGACCACTAGTCCTGCGAGGGGAAGGACTTCACTTCTTTCCGCTACCGATTTTCTTCGTCATTGTGATCGAGACCAGCTTAGAGAACTTGAACAGCTCGCAGGAGACGGCGGGCCCGATATGTCGGATGTGAGAGGCGTGAGTATGCTGCTATCTTTTTCGTCATCAACGCTGACCTCCCCTCGTTGTCTACAGAGCATGAGGCCTCTACCCCGTCCAGTGATCCAGAGCGAGACTGGGACACATGCATGCAAGCCCACTTCTCACACCGCATTGACCACTCACGCTACCAATGAGCCTACAACCGAGAAGAACAATCAGACTACCGACCAGAGAACCACACAAACTGTCAAAAGCAGTAGCCCATACTGTCCCAACTTTGATCAGAACCTCACCGATGGGGGGGTTTACCCTGCTAATTTCTTGTTTCAAGATGGTGAAGCAGCCAAAAGACCGGGTAATTGGGAGCAGATCAACCAACGACTAGGCGTACGACGACTCTCTCTTTCACCCTCGAGTTTCTCGGAAGCAGATTTTCAAAATTTTGCTAAAAACAACGACAATGCTCACAAGGAGAAGCAAGTGACCACATCGGTAATACCAATTATCGAGGGCAAGATCATCGACCCTGGATCTGTGTGCGGCGGAATCCGATGGACAAATTTGGATCCTCTCACAGATGGAACAATTGTCCCTGGCAATCCTGACATCTATTACGGCGCCCGTCCCGAACGATTGGACCGACGCGTCCGGGATGAGCTGAGGAACTCTATCATTCCATCAAAACAGGATTCCCTCCCTATCGTGCCAAATTTCTTTCTAGCTGTGAAAGGCCCTGATGGAACTGAGAGAGTTGCGAATAGCCAGGCTTTGTACGATGGAGCTTTAGGGGAGAGGGGCATGATTCGCCTATTATCATTCGGACATGAGAAGCCAGTCTTAGACAACAACGCGCATACGATTTCATCGATATACTACCATGGTTACCTTCAGCTGTTCACCATCCACGCTGCATCACCGACTGGTCCTGGTGGCAGACCGGAATATTTCATGCACCGATTGAGATCCTTTGCCATGAACGACTCTCCAGAAACATTTCGACAGGGAGCCGCTGCCTACAGGAATGCTCGGGATTGGGCGAAAGAGCAAAGAGACCAGGCCATCGAGCAAGCAAACGCGAGGGTAAATGGCCGTCAAAGCACAATACTTGGGGTCGAGACCAGTGTCGAGCAGGCGTCGAGCCTCACGTCCGAGCCTAGATTGGGTGATGCCAACACCGAGACTCCGATCCAGGAGACACAACCCCATCCAACCGAAGATCTCGAATCGACTCTCAATTCTCACAACTCTGCAGTCTCGTCCGGCGAGCTTTCATCGAGTCAAGGGTCTACCAAACGTTTACACAGACAACCTCTAGAACAATCTCCGCCTCAGAATAAGCGTCAGAATGTTCGCCAGTCTGACGACGGTGATGAACACCTGTGACTCAGCTCGTGGACAGTGTTATCACGCCTCAATGTCCTTTTCAGGAGCTTCTTCTACTTTTGTGGTTTCCAGACCACGAGTATCAACGATCATCCAAGAATGGAAAAAAAACAAACAAAAAGAAAACTCGGGGTTTCTAAACGCCGCTTGTGTTCCTGCGGTACTCCCAACATGGAGATTTGTATGTCTCTATTTCATACTGTGGGTTCTGTCTAGTGCACCTCCAACGCGACAATGTTTGCTCTGACCGGAATTGTTCTGGATCACGCTCCTCCTGCCTTTAATTCTCCGTCATTGCACCTTGTTGAATGACGCTAACAAATCGGTTTCTCAGATCTTGAGCGACGGCGATCCGACCTAAAAAAAAATCAGCACCGTGGCACTTGGCGTCGTTTCGAGTTCCCCAATGTACAGTGTTCGACGGCCTTGGTGACACCAAAGATGGTCAAGTTTGATGTTGTTGTCCAGCAAACACTCCATGACGAGTGGTTATTCTCGACCGCAATTCACATGCCATCGTGTCTGTCATATTCACCTGCTTGGAGGACGGATTTGACCTTCTCAAGATTACCAGTGGCGCCGGCTTTATCGAGGCAACCCTTGGCAGGGCGACATATTCAAGATACGAAGAGACTACCAAGGCACTTGTGTGGAGAATCAGGAAAGCTAATGTACGAGGTACAGTACAAGTGCTCGCGGAAAAGGGCATACAGGAAAAGCTAACACCCTACTTTGGTGGCAAGGACCGGCAGACCTATTTTGAGGAGACAGTTGGTGGAAGTCTCCCCTCCATGACGGGCTTAGCTTCTCCATCAAGGTAGATAACTCGTAGCCTAAATCCATTTGTACCTGATTCAAAATACCACCACATCCGTTTCCTGACCCGTTGTATCGTTGTTGAACAGCACCCATACTAGGCACAGAGAGAAATTCACCTCGACTGCCACGATTGATTTTTCTGTGCTCTCTTTTTTTTCTTTCTTTTTTTTTTCTACTGCAGATTCACTGAAACCCCCCCCCCCCGAGGCGTGATTCTGGTTCCTTGCTGGAGTTAGGCAGAGAGCACGTAGGCTGGGGAATCCACGTTGTCGCTCTTGTCGAGACTCGCGCTGCTTGTCAGTGTGAGAAAGCCCGGATCATCCCCTCCTCTTTGTCCCAACCGGCAGCGTGATGTGAAGTGCAAGGAGCCAACTCGGCCCAGAAACGCCCAAGAAAATCCATACCCGCGTCGCTTTCCTTCGTCATGTTTCGAGCAATGTCCCCCCCCGGGTGTCCTGGCAATATCTCACTCGACCAAAGATCGACCGCGAACGTTGGTACGGCGCATCTCTTCCCGGAAAGGGACGCGAGCAATGCGACATTCGGGGACAATTCACCACGACGGCCCCCATTCTGCCCGCTGACCTATCCTTCGATCCCTTTCAACTACACGAGCGGCCCACTGGCTCCCACCGTGACAAGGCACAACGGCGGGCGCCGTTACGTGAAGTTCGACTTCCCCCTCCTGCGCCAGAGGATCGTAGACGCATGTCCTGGCGTGAGGAGGATCGGTGTAGAATTCGAAAAAGGAAGGGAGAGGGGGGGCTTTTCAACCGAGTATTCATCCTCGACATGGACAACGGGACACGCGTCGTTCGCGAGGCTGCCTTTCCGAGTAGCTGGCCCACGAAAAACTGACGACGCGGTCAGAGGTCGCGACAATGGATGGCGTACGGTGAGCACTTTTTCGAATTCTGGCCTTGACGTGCGTGCGGCTCATATGCGATGACAGTCCGGTCTCATACGACCATTTCCCGTCCCAAAAGTCCTCTTGATTGGGAGGGCAGATTGAACATAACCCCGTCGAGGCGGAGTACATGTATCATGGAGCACGTCCCAGGAGCCCAGTTTACACGATTTCTGGTCGGGCATGACCACTCATCAACATATATGCTGGTTGGTCACCAAGCACTCGGCTCTTGCTGCGGCGGAGATGGCAAATCTCACGTTTCCGGCCTGCGGGCAGCTTATATTTCGACACTTTTACGAAAAGGCAGACGGACAAGGTCAACGTCACAGACGGCTTCTGTGGTCGGGCCCGAACCGTGGTCGAGGCTACTGGGACTACTGCGTCGGTGACGAGTCTCATGGGCCAGAACGGGCGGTCCACGAAATCGGGGGGGCATGTCAGTAAGTACCCACCAACCTGTATTCCCCCCCTCCAAGGCAGAGAAAAGATTTGCTAATCCAAGTGACAGGGTCTTCTCTACGAGAGTACACCGATGCTTTCCTGACCGCCGGACATGCACGACTGTGCCCCAGTCATCCGACAGACCGCGACCATGAACTCCCCGTCGTACCGTGGTTGCAGAGAGTCGGAAGATCCGGTCATGAATCAGGGATAGATGGGGAGAAGCTTCGGGCCTTGGGATGAGAGGCGACGTGACGTGACGTGGCGGACATTTGTGGGCTTGTGACCTGTAGGTTTGTGTGCTTGAGTGGATGTACCATTAATAGTATAGTTCATTAGGTGATGGATTATCAGGTGTTGCCATTGGATCGAGCCGTGTTGTGTCATTATTAATGCGGCTCATACATACGTAGCTAGCTAGCTAGCAGTACAGATAATCAGTTAAGCAGGATATAGCCAGCCAGCCAGCCAGCCAGCTTGTCAGATATTCCTCACCCCCTCAGCACTGATTACGTAGGTTATCGATCTCCTGATCATAAAAGCGTGTACTCGAGAACCGGGATAAGATCTCTCTCCATATTCCCCGTCTTCCTGTGGTCGGTGGACGACGGGATGATGGCGTGTTTTGATCCCCACGTGTATTCAGTTCGTCCCCAGGACCACCTGTCGCTGGCATTGGTGGAAGAGTCCAACACCCATGCCAGTCAATGTATGTCGGTCTGTCCTCGCGGACAAGGGGGTGATTCGACACCCCCTGCCGACTGACCTATTCTTCCCCCTGGAAGAAGTCGATGATGGCGCGAGCACCCTTCGGTCCCAAACCGCGGGCCGGGTAGCACAGGTAGAGCGGGTCTTCGAGAGTGTTGAACTTGGTCCTGAACCCCGTCTTCTTGTCGAGATTGAACTTGGCCGCCAGGGTCTGGTACAGCGAGTCGAGCGTGGCAGCCTTGACACTGCCGACATTGTGCTCGCTGCTCAGTTTGGCGGTCGCGCCGGCACCGAACGTGCACGTCTTGTAACCCGCCTTCGCAGCGGCCTTGAGAGCGGCCTGCACTGTCAGTTCGATCGCTCCATTGGTCGCACCGGGGAAGTCAAGCGCCCATTTCACCTGCACGCCCCACCGAGGTGCAAGTTGTGCGAGCACCACCAGGCTGTGTATTTTGCCCCGGTCGTCCACGGCGATGAAGTACTGGCGGTGTGATGCATCCTTGAACGGCGTGATCACACTCAAGTGGACCTGTGCACCCTCGCGGTTATCCTGCCACTCTTTGATGCGCTTTTCTACTTCCCGGCGCACGTCCTCCGGCACCTCACTGCCGTACTCTGTCACTTTCACTCCTTCTTTCGAGGCGTGCCGGATCTTGCGGTCAACGTCGCTGTTGATGGTCATATGCTCATTATTAGCAAGATTGACCCGCTGCTCTGCCACGTTGGTGAAGCTCTTCCATCCCATCTTAGCGCCGAGAACCTCTTCGATTTCTTTGTCTACAAGAATAAAAAGAGGCCGGAGCCGAGTCTCGCGCCGAAGCCACTTCAGAAAGGCGGCAATCACGTCTTCAAGCTGGGATGTTTCGCACAGCGGGTTTCCGGCAATAATTGCTCGATCATGCGTAGGAACGTAGGCGATAGCTGCACCCGTCTTGTCATCCCGCCAAATCTGGTATCTCTCGTCCATCCAAGAAGTGTTCGTGGCGTCTCCGTAATTTGCTACCAAGTTCTCAACCGGCTGGAGATAGCCCTTGGGACGATGCAAAGTGCTGTCCTCGGGATGTCGCAGGTTCGGTTCCTTTTTCGCGGGGAAGCTCTTGGGATCGCGGGAAAACAGTGACGCATAGCGCAAGTTGCCTAGGTCCAGGATAAGCGCAACAAGACGTTCGAGCCCGATACCAGCGCCGGCGTGCGGCGGCGCCACCCACTCGAAGGCTTGCACATATTCCTTCAAGTCATCTGGATCCATGCCTTGGGCTTCCATTCGCTCCTTCAGCAGTGTGTGTTCATGGATTCTCTGCCCACCAGAAAGGATTTCTTGCCCCCGAACCATAAAATCGAAAGAATTGGTGATATTCCCGTCTTTTTGATCTGGCATGGTGTAAAAGGGACGTGCGGCTGCAGGAAACTTGTCGAGGATGTAATAATCAGTGTGATATTTCTGCTTGACTAGCTCTCCGAGTCTTCGCTCGCCCCGGGTCGGCAGGTCGTCATGCTCGGACTGTTGACTTCCGTCGTCGTTGGTCCAACCTGATTCGTTCAACAGCTTGACACCTTCTGCGAATGTGATTCTCGGTGTCTCGTCCAGCCAGACCAGGTCGTCGTGTGGGAAGTGATGTTTCAGGGTATCAATGTCCTTCTTGTTGTAGTCATAAAGTGTTTTGAAGATCTCTTTCAGTGTCGCATCAATCAACCACATTGCTTCGTGATAGTGCCTGTCTATAGCCATTTCCAGATCCAATCCCGTGAATTCGGTCATGTGGCGGGGGGTGTTTGAGTTTTCTGCGTAGCATTTAGCCATGTATGTCACCAGGGACGAGGTGAGAAACCTACCAGCACGGAAAACAGGGCCAATTTCAAAGACACGTGGGAAATCTGCCGAGATGCACATTTGTTTGGCAAGCTGTGGGCTTTGAGCCAGAAAAGCCGGACGACCAAAGTAATCGAGCTTGAAGACGTCTGCACCGCCCTCAGTCGCTCCGCCTTGTAATTTTGGTGTATGGATCTCTAGAAAGCCACGGTCCTCGAGATGGCGTCGGAAAGTCTTGCACACAGCCGACTGAACTCGGAAGATTGCCTGTGCTGATGGTGTTCGCAGGTCGAGAATACGATTCGCGAGCCTGACCCTATCGGATATAGAGTGACCGTCAGTCGCTGCGTCAGCCTCGTAGACACTAAAGGGCACAGGAGCCGTCCTCGCCGAGACCAGCCGCATCTGTGAGATCTCAAGTTCCACATCCGAAGTGCTTGTACCCTTAACAGTTTGTTCGGGCTCTTTGACTTTGGCTCTGACGACGACGATGGAACCTGCCCTCATGTGTTCCACCCACCGGACCATATTTTCAGAGACCCCGCCGTCTATGGCGCGGAGCACGCCCTGTATCGTGGTGGTCTCCTGGCGAAACACCACGAAGGCAAGCCTTGCACTCATGTGTCGCACAACGTGAATTCGAGCGCGAAAGGTGATTTCCTTGCCAGTGAGACTGGTGTCAATATCTGCGAGCGAAATCCAACCCGCGTTCCATGCGTCATGATCGATCGGGTCATCTTGAGACTGTACCAATGGTAGTTTGCCATATCGCTTCTTCGCTTCAGGAGGGTCATCATTGTCCAGGAATTCATCTAGGCTTTTCATGGCCTCGCCGTGCCCGCGCCGGTTGTTCTCTTCTCCACCCTCTTCCTCATCCTCGGCGCTGGACCATTGGACCTCTTGTTGGACTGTATCGGCAACATCTTTTTCGGGGCCCCCTCGCCGGTGTTTATCACTGTGATTGGAAAGCGATTCACCCAATTCATGCTTGTGATGAGAGATTTTGTGGCGCAGGTTCGCGATTGCAGCCATGACTGCGGACTTGCACAGGTGCAGCGGACGAGAGCAGTGCTACAGAGCCACGAAGAAGCGATCAGGTGTAAAGAGGCAAGCCGGCTCTGGAGTTGGCGATTCCAGCAGGGCTTTTAGCATGGAGCGGATGATCGTCCCGGCATGTCGCCGTCGATGATCCTGCAAGAGATTTGACGTCATTTGTCGCAAAAACCCGGTGCAGGCCACCGGAGTCGACCGCACTGTAAGGACTCGCTAAGATGGCAGACCGTCGATGATCTTCCATGTTGTTTCAAGTGTGTAGGCAGCGAATAGTGAGCACTGACATGAACGGAGTAGATCAAACCAAGTCTTCAGAGTCGGGGCTTGGCCGTCTGCAGCTTGACATCACAACCAATTGTGGGTGACTAGTAGGTTTGCCAAGGCCTTGTTGGTTGCTACAGAGGTGCCGTGGAGTCACTAACGCCCATCCATGGGGCACTTTTCCCGTTGTGGGCTTCTACGAACTCGTGCCCCGATGTTATTTGCGCCACGGGTATACAGCCAATCCGCAATCCATTGGTTGCGAATCACTCAGCGCACTTCTCTTGAGTATGCAATCCTACACCGGCTGTATTGACAGGACCTAGGGTGGTCACTGTCGGAGGACAACGAAGCGGAGCAAAGTGTGAGAACCTGCACTTGTGTGCACAAATCACTAATATCATGGCACGGGCAGATCACTCTACAGCATCCCGAGACCAAATCAGGCCTCGTAGCAGTTGGCTTTACCCTGTTTCGGACTGGCATCAAGGATCCTGGCAGATCCCCTGCCAACCCTTATGCCTGCTAATTTTACCTCTGTAAAGTCGCTGCCAGGAAATCCGCATCCGGTCTAGGCGACTTTGACCCTTTTGGAATAGCGGCGGGCGGAGACAACCGTGACAATTCCCCTTTGGAACGGAGATTATATAATCACTTCCACAGTCCCATCACGGTGTTAACGTTCTCGGAACAGTAAGGAGACTACGATGCACGTGGCAAAGAGGATCCGGAGAACCCTGCCCACATTTGAAGGTCTCATGAAACTGACCGCAGCGACTGGCATCCTGTGATTAGTTTGAGAAGCCGCAGCCTTGATCTCATTCCAGGCGGGGCGAAAAAGGAGGGGCAAATGACTGACTGTGACGGTCTTTCACCTCGTCGCCGCGCATCCCCAAGTGCGAACACACCACAACAATGGCTCAACCGGCCAGTGCGAAATACCACAGCGAACCTTCTGCCCTCTGGGGGAAAGCGTACGACTCTTTGAAATCTCAGCATCCCGAGCTTGTAGAAAAATATGAGGAGATTCTCTCAGCACACTTGCCTGGGCAAACCAATACCAGTAAAAATGTTGTGTCAACGGACCCGAAGGAGCGGCAAGCCCAAATGGAAAGTATCATGAAGAATGGCATGGAACGTGTCGATGCTAGGAGGATACGGTACCGCATCGCCGGCAAAGAGTTTGATCTGGAAAACCAGGTATCCGAAGCCACCGACTTACTTCTATCGGTTCGTGACTGGATTGCTGGAGCAGTCAAAAGTTCACCGGAAGCTTCGCTAGCATGGGCGGGCGTCTCATTGGTCCTGGTCTTTCTCAACAACCGAAGTACAGCTCTGTCGGCCCAGAATGAAGGCTTTACGTATGTGACGAGTCGCCTGCGCTACTATATCGCTCTGGAATCTATCATGCTGCCTGAAAGCGGAGCGAGCGGGATCGACGGAAATTTGAGAGATAGATACGAGGATGTCGTCTTGGACCTGTACATTCATGTCCTCAAATTCCAAATTCATAGCGTTCGACGCTTCTACCGTGGCCGTCTTGGGAATCTGGGCCGCGACCTTATCAACGCAGACGAATGGAAGAGCATGTTGGACAAGATAAAGGAGCTCGAAGAAGAGATTGAGAAGAAGTCCGCGCACATTAACAGCTCTATTGCGCGAGAGAAGCTCTCGGGTCTCAAGGCAAATTCCACATCCACGCTCCAGCTTTTGGAGCGCCAAGTCGAACTCGCCGAAGAGTGGAGTGATCTCTTTCAACAAAAGGTTGACGCCATCTTGGATGCCCTCGCTAAGCAATCTGATCTATACAAGCAAACCTTAAGTGATGAAGAAAGGAAGAAACTGGACTCCCTGCTTGAAAAACTCTTCGTGAGTGATTATGAGATGTTCAAACACAGGATCGATGGAAGAGTCGAGGGAACTTGTCAATGGTTCCTGGAACACCAGAACTACAAGCAATGGCTCTCTCAAGACTCAGGCCCTCTATTTGTGTCTGCTGACCCGGGCTGCGGCAAATCTGTCCTTGCAAAGTATCTGGTGGACGAAGCCCTTCCTCGAGATGCAACCATTTGCTATTTCTTCTTCAAGGATCCATACGCAACCACCGCCAAACAGGCCGTCTGTTCCACTGTCCATCAGTTGCTCAAGCAGAAGCCACACCTCGCTCACCACGCACTTGACCACTTTAGAGGAGTTGGAGAACATTTGCCCGAGGCGCTAAGTGTTGTCTGGAATATGTTAGTCGACACAGTCACGGACCCCGAAGCAGGACACATCATTTGGGTCGTTGATGCTCTGGATGAGTGTGCCGAGCTGGAGCTCAGAGACCTGATATCCTTGATTGAAGGATTCTTCGACTCGTCGAAATCAAAGAGGACAAAGTTTCGGATACTTCTCACCAGTAGACCTTATTACTCCGTGACAACCAAGGTCGAATACGCGTTAGCTGAATCGTTTCCCAATATCAGGATTCCTGGTGAAGATGAATCCGACGCAATAATGGAAGAGGTGGACCGGGTCATCCGTTACCGGATCGAGAGACTCTCCAATCTCTACGCCTTGAAGAAGAGTCTCAGAGACCATCTGGAGGCCCGAATCTTCCAAATTGAACATCGCACCTACCTTTGGGTCCACCTGGTATTCGATTACCTAGAGAAGAGCAAATTTCAGAAGACAATGAGGGGAATATCGGATCGTATTGATACTGTTCCAGCCAAAGTAGACGGCGTATATGAACAAATTCTTCTGCGAGTTGAGGAAGAAAACAGAGAAACAGTTCAGAAAGCGCTAAGCATCATTTTGGCAGCGGACCGTCCCTTGACTTTGCAGGAAATGAATGTTGCGTTGAACGTCGCCTCTGACATGTCTGGTGAGGATGAACTAGATCTCGAAGACGACGATGACTTCAAGAACACACTTCGAGACTGGTGCAGCTTGTTTGTGACCGTTTACAATGGTCGCGTTACTTTGATCCATCAGACTGCCAGAGAATTTCTCTTGGCCAAATTCGACCAAGGACGCCCGACGGAAGCGTTGGAGACAAGTACAAAGAGTTGGCAACATTCGATACCACTGTCTCGTGCACACGCCATCTTGTCAATAAGCTGTGTAGCTTATCTGAACTACATGCGACTTCGAGGCCTACAATTTGATGAACCAGAGATCGAGTCCATCATCAAGGAGCACCCTTTCCTGGGATACGCGTGCTGGCACTGGTCGTCGCATATCCGTGATTGTGGGTACGTGAGTGACGAAATTCGGCATTTATACATATCCATTTGTTCTCCTGATCAGAGTCTGTGCAAATTCTGGCTAGAATTGGGCAGAGAGCTTCGACGCCTGTACTCATGGAAGGGAGATGACAAGATGTTTCGAATACGTGACCTCAGCGTAGAGGATCTGCTGCCCCAGACTCTGCCGGCATATTTCGGCCATCTGGAGGGCTTGAAGATGCTAGAAGGATCAGAGAAATCGCAGACCAGCCGAGAGGCATTATCGCCATTTTTCGCCGCCTGCTGGGGCGGTCACAGCCAGGTGGCTCAATATCTATTGGAGAGAGGTGACAATACGGATACCACGTTCAGAGATCAGCATGTCCTCAGTCTCGCACTGGGAAGAGACGCTTCTGGGAAACCATGGACTGGTGTGTTCCTGGAGATATTCTCTCGCATCATTGAAGATGTTCCCCCGAGGCGCCTCCACGCTCTTCAAGGATATGAACATTGGGGATTTGATGATAATATGTACCCTAGCCTCCACTACGCGGCAGCCTATCTGGATCTCATTTACCTGGAAATTCTCCTGAGAAAGCGTGGGATCGAGATAGACGTGCGGGATTCCTTGGGAAGAACCGCACTTCACTGTGCCAGGGGTGCGGAAAAGGTGCTGTGCCTTCTCCAGCATGGTGCGTCTGTTTCCGCGGAAGATTATCTATGTCAAACACCGCTATTCTGTTCCCAGGGAGCAGAAGGGAAGAAGTTGTTGATCGAATGGGGGGCCGATATACATGCCACTGACGTCCATGGGAGGACTGCACTCCATGAGGCGAAGGATGCAGACGATGTATCAGTCCTAGTTGAGAGTGGAGTTCCTGTCGATGCCTTGGATCACAATGGTCTTACGCCTCTGCTCTACAAAACCACTCCGACAGTGGTGACGGACGCACAGTCCGGCCCAATTACTGCTCTTTTAGAGCTGGGAGCCAACCCAAATGCGAAGGACCGGGACGGTATAAGCCCATTGGCTGCCATCGTCAGAGTGGGCTCATCTGGATTGGACAAGGCTAGCACAATTATGTCGACGTTGCTTCGATATGGTGCTGATCCTAATATTCCGGATAACCATGGCTTGAACCCCTTGTGTTTCGCGTCCGGCGGATTCTGGCGTTCCAGAATGAAGTCAATCGTGGAGACTCTCCTCAACAATGGAGCGAACGTGAACAGCAAGGATGAACTGGGACGCACGCCCCTTCACTATGCCTGCTGGAACGCTCGTACAAAACTCGTCAAGTACCTATTGCGTCGGGGTGCAGACGTCCAGATAACAGACCTGGAGGGCAACTCACCATTGCACCTCTGCACACTTCCCGCGATACTGCAGGATTGGGAGATCATGTACACGGCCTCGGTAGTGGAATTGCTCAATCGAGCCGGGGCAAAGTTTGACGCTGTCAATCACCGTGGTATGACACCGCTCCTCGCCGCGGCCGCGAACGAGCGTTACCTCCATTGGATAGCAGCCTTGGCTGAAGCGACGAAGAGCGACACTTTGGTGGCTGATGATCGCGGGATGACAGTACTTCACCATCTCGCTGCCAACGTTCAACTCGGGAAACGAATTGACGCAGAGAGACGTGATGGCACGGAGCTTTTAGAAACAGTGCTAAATCGCCTGTGGGAGACTGGCGCCGAAGCAGTCCTGGAAGCACGCGACAAAGAGGGCCGAACACCACTACTCGTTGCAGCATCTCACGCAAACGACGCAGTGCTCAGAGCCCTTTTGGACAGAGGGGCCTCTGTAGAGGCAAAAGATGAGATGGGAAATACGGTTCTTCACTGTCTAAGTCTCGGTGATCCTGTTGGTGTGTATGAAGCAGACAAATGCTTCTACAGAGTATCGACAGCGTGGCAGAGCACGAGGCAAAGCTTCGACGTCAGAAATAACAAAGGGAGGACGCCTCTGCACGAAGCGTGTGATCGCGGCAAAGCATTCCTATCAGAAGCTCTTGCCTGGTCCGGAGCAGACCCCGGCGCCCTCGACAATACCGATTGCGATCCGCTGCAACTTGTCCCCGAGGTCTGGAGGGACGATATGCGTGGATTTGTTGAACGCGGCTGTGCCTCGAGAGGCCAGCAGCGACCACAACCGTTCCACGAGGACAACTACGCTCCGATCCGGTGGCCTCCCGCACTACCACGTTCGGTAGCAAGTTCTGCTGGGTGATAGTCTACTAGTAAAGTAGTCGCCAGCAACAAGGAGAAAGGGACTTTGCCTACTTTGCCTACCTTCCTGGTGAGATATGTATGTAGACCAGTCAATGTCTTGCCAGACAAACAACCAAGAATGGATATTTAGTAATTCCTTTGTCCAAGCCATTCGCACTGGATTTTGGTAATATGCACAAATTGCCCAAGTACAAGCAGTTTTCTTGATGACTAAGTCCTCCTTCCTACTTGGTTCTTGGTACATGGTACCAACCAATCAAGCGCATGCGTGACTTCCGTTTTTGGTTGGGAGCGAAACTCAATAGGCCAGCTAGACCGATCCGGGCGGTTTTCGTGGCGCGCTTTACAGGTGCCGTTTGCACGAACGGTTCAATCCGCGCACCGGGACAAACTCAGTGTCACTATAAGTTACGAAGTACTGCTAGTACTTTCTACCGCTTTATGGTACCATGTATGTCCTATTGTAGTAGTAAGTACTCACAAAGAATGTCTGGTAGGTTTTGGTTGAAGAAAAAAAAAGCCCGGCCGCGGAGCTAGGAGGGAATATGCTGTTTTCTGTTCGTTTTCGTTTCTCGTGTCGCATGAGCATTTGTATCATTGGAAGAAAGAATGAGACGCACACAACAGAACACTTGCCAGTACCAGAAAGATTCATCGTACTAAACACCAAGTAAAGTTCCTGAATCTATATCTAAGATATCTATCTATCTGCCTGTGTATTTATTCAGTAGTGGCATTCTTCTCATGGACACAAAAGAAACACCAAAGGTACTAGTTAGTGTACAAGCCACTTCCTCCCTCCCACCCTTTCTCTCTAGCAGCTCACCGACGCGCCCACCATGGTCGTCGTTCTTCCGTTTGGAAGCAGTACTTTGGTTGTTGAGGGGCTTTCGCTGCAGGTTTGGGTGACACACTGCGAAGTCGCTTCAGGCCAGGGACATCAGGCTTGGGGCCTTTCGGTGCTGGAACTTGGAACCTATCGCGTTGTCCTGAAGGCTGAGAAGAAGCATCCGGCACTGGGCCAATCTGACGTCGAGGTGTGGTCAGTCCTTCGCCGTTGAAACACATGGCAAGCATTTGAGCTGCCGAAGCTCGTAGATCGGGATCTTGTCGTGCCATCGGCATGTGAATAGCCGCATCCTTGACGCCTTGGAGAACGTCGTTGTACTGAGCTAGCCTTGGGTCGTGAAGATTTCCTGATTGTGTCACAACACCGAGCACGACAAAGAGGGACCAGACGTCCGCTTTGGGAGATTGCTCGTGCGTTTCGAACCTTATCTCGGGTGCCATGTAGAGGGGAGAGCCGCAGAGCGTCCTTGCGAGCTGTTGTTGACTGGCAAGGCCAAAATCAGCGAGTTGGAAAAGGTAATTGTTGTCGCCTGTTGGGGTGTAGAGGATGTTTGCGGGCTTCACATCCCGGTGGATCCAGTTTCGGCAGGCAAGATAATCTAGCGCTTGGAGCATTTCATGCCACAACCGCCAGACGACAACTTTGTTGGTACGTATGCCTGGAAATTGCTTGATCAAATCGCCCAAGCTTCCGGATTTGAGGCTCAGGTAAATCTCGACGGTTTCGGTGCCCCAACCCGACGAGCCCAAGTATTCGACAATGTTCTTCTGTTCCCCGCTGTCTGCATGTGGCACCATAGCCAAGAGGATAAGGAGGAACATACGTGAGAAATGCTGGAGAGGGCTTTGACTTCACGCTGCAACACGTCGTCCCTCCCAGGCACTTTGATTCTCTTGGCTGCGATTAAGCATCCCGAATCGGCATCAACAGCTCTGTGTACTTGACCAAACGCTCCACCACCTAGATCTTCAACGATGATCGCTCGCTGGACAGCCCCAATGGCAGGCGTGTGAAGTCGTGTGTTGTACCAAGAGGTGAGATCCATCGGAACGTCCTCGACAGTTGGAGCCCAACGAGAATTGCATATCCGTGCATCCACCATCTGAGATTTATTTTTCCTGCTCTTGTACGAGCATGTCCTTTTTCGTGACCCATTTCACGTGGAAGACAAACTGGTCCAGTTTCTCGCCGCCAGCGCTGATTGTGTAGTCGGATTTCTTCGTGTTCAAGACGATCTTGCGGAAATTCCCATCTTCCCTGAACTTATCTGGGTCTATTTTCGTGGTGTGAAGTCGGGACCGGTCCCAGAACATGATTTGATGGGATTCTGGGTGGATTTCGAACGAAAAGTGGACTTGGGAGATACTCTTTCCCACTTCCGCTATAACCAGAGGACGAGGCCTTGACGGAACGTGATGGCCGATCTCAAGTCCGTACATATCGGGGTTTGTGTGGCATAGTGAAACAAACTTCTTGTTGTCTGGGTGAAGAAGCATTTCCTTGGCCTTGGGAGATTTCTTGTTCGGCACGAGCCACAAGATCGTTTGAGGGTGTGGAATTTGACGGGGAGACATGATGCTGTGCATTCCACAAGAGAAAAAGTAAGATAGTCGGCCTCCAAAAGAGTGGTTGGGAGAGTATTCCATCTTTTGAGCAAATCAGTCTCCTTGTTCAAGTGACCCAGTAATACCGAGACATTTTGAGAAACCCATGGCTCCCCCTCAAGTCGATTGGACAACAACGATTGTCGTAGATTGCATTCCTTTCTCACCTGGTGAATGGACCCTGCTGTTGTCAAACACGTCCCTTATCTTAGTCGGGTGCGTGCATGGCTCAATTTGTTGCCTAGAGTGTTGGAATGCATGCGTCACGTGGACGATTGACAACTTGTAAATCCATATATCAGTAAGCCGCAATGGACTGCCTCTGCTCAACGCGTCGACTTCTGCACTTCTACCAACCATCACAATGACTCAAACCGTCCACGACATCAACTCGGCTCGTCTGAATGCCATTCTCCCGCGGATGGAGGACGGCCCATCGTTTCTTGAACACCAAGAGCGTCGTTTCGGACAGGACCCTCACTCATCCTGTCACACCACGAGAGAATCAACCCTTGAACCTTTGCCTCAAATCCAGGCCGAAGTCGACCCCGAAGAACTTGTTCGTAAGCCGTTGAATGACAGGGAAATCAATATAATGCGAACTATTTTGCATGAGCGCTATCGCTATCACCCAGGCCGTCGATACGGAGAGGAGGAGTTGCAGGAATCGAGGCGGATCTTCGATGAGCGGTGGCGTCGGGATGAAAATTATGTTCTGCTCTATCATGGACCCGACTTGAGGGGGCGCGTAGGGGAAGCGAGATCGCGCATCATGGCCAGACACAGCATCAAAAAAAGATGGCAAGAACTGGGAGTCTGGAACCCGAAATGGGGAGTCGTACCGAACAGTCACGGTCGGTATCTTAACGGAGATCGTCCTGAATTCTGGGAGTGGCACCGGAAATGGCGGGGCACACAACGGAAGTTCGACAGCCTACCTTGGGAGGAACAAAATGGCTGCTGGCCCGTGCCAGATGAGGAGTTCGAATGGGAGCGCGCGATCCGAATGTACCTCGAGAGGGAAGGTCACTGGAGCGAGACTCTCAAGCTAGTGTCGACAGAGAATGGACACCAATACGACACCGACGTGGTCGATGATCGCGAATTTCTAATCACGAGCCGACCTTGGTTTGTTTGGGCACTAGAGGCCGCAGAGGAAGAGGTGAAACTGCGACGCCTTCCAATGCAGCCCACAATCTCAGCATATGAACCGGCAAGGGTGAATGTAATGGCCCGATGGAAAGAGGACGGCCGCTGGAAAGATAGCTGGACCGACAATACGACTGACTACATAAACCCCCCTGTATGGCCACACTTGGTGGGGTGGAAATGGAGAAATGAGTCTCCATCACCAGAACCTGCGGATTTAAATGACATGGAATTCACTCCATCCGAGGTTGATGCGCTGGAAGCCATACGCCCTCCCACACCGCCGCCGCCACCGAGGCCAATGCCCCAAGAGCGCCGTCGTCGGACTGATATATCCATTTTCCATCCGTCCTATGACGACGATTCTGATCCACAACCGTTGGAATCCGCAGAGCCGCTCCACCAGAAAACCAGGCTCAGGCAGAAGGCATCTCGAGGCCCAACGACGTCTGCAAAAGTCTCCAAGTTGACTCCACCTCGTCGCAGCCTCAGGATTGCAGAAAGAGAACAGCGGCTCAAGGTTCCTGATATGCCTCCTGAAGCCGTGGAGAATCTGGACAAGGAGAGTGTGACACAGCTGCCTCCACCGCAGTCGGACCAGAAGGTAAAGAAGACCTCGACGAAAGCGGAAACAGGGGGAAATGGTCGTTCCAAAAAGGAACATCAGCCAAAGTCGTCGAAACTGCAGGGTATCGCAAAGCGAAGTGGCCGATCAGGACGTTCAAATGTATAACATGGGATTATGTGCGGCGTACTCGAAGCTACTACTCGATCTTGACATGGCCGGTGAACCCGGAAACAACCATGTCTGTTGCGACCCACTAGATCCGATCGGAGCTGGACATGGTTCATGGGAATCGCGTCGATTCTTTTCAGGTTTTGATCTTTTGTGGATGGGACAGAACACCAGCCAAAGACTTCTCTGGGTTGTAAGGGCGTTTCAAGGAAGGCGTTGGCAGTGACTGGCTACCGGGGGTTATCACCTGCTTTACCAATACGTTATATAAGATAGGCATCGAAAAAATGACCAGTGGTTGGCCTTGAAGCAGAGAACTACTAGAAGTTGTGTGCAATAATAATAATGCCATTTACGCGCCGATACCATTTCAAATAGACTGACAAGCGTCGCAGGAAGAGACTACATTCGTAAAGACGAAATCAAACGCCCTGAAAATAGGAGAGTATTTCCCTCAGGAAGGTATACGAGGAATGCGGTAAGTGCGTTCTGCAAGAATCACCGAACGGGCGGCCGACGTGGTGGCAGAGTTCCTGGCCAAGCGAGCCGTTGGCCAAGGTCCACGAAATGCGAGGTCCTTCGGTGGAGCCTGACCGGATCCTTGTTTTGGAGTGTGTTTACTTCGCTCTAGGATGGATTTGGCGGGCATCACCATCAGTCCGCCTAGCGTCGAGGCGTCCGGTCAGCGCTCATCGGCAATTGTACGAGGCATTGCATAGCACGGGAGACGTGTTGGTTGTCACGTACGCATTGGGGATGCAGACCTGAGACACTGATACAGGCCAGTGGTTCAGCGGAGGATATCGATTCGTGATGGTGAGGAACATGAGGAGCAAGTATGACTCAAAACCGAGGCTGCATCCTTGGACCTTCACTGGATGACAGACAGCAGGGTAACAGGAATACCTCGTAGGCGCAGACTATTCGAGAAGATGCGCAAGATGGCGGAGAGCGCGATACACTAACTTGTCAGACGATAAACAACAGGCAGACTGGGTCGTCATTTAAAGTATTGGCAATCCACCAATGACATCATCCTCGCCAGCTTCGCACGTTCCCCGTCTTGCCGGTGGAGGAATTGATCTGCGCGTGGCGGCCAACAGATCGATAGACAACTTGACTTCAGGCCGCTGAACCTGTCGTGCCTGTCCATGTGGCCAATATAGACGCGCACTGGACCATATCGTCGACCACACTTGTTTGCACATTTGATTCACTTCTACACGCTTGATTTCCTGATTCTCTCCGGTTTTGCCAGACAATTGGTCGTCAATTCACCGACTCTTCCCCTTGTGTCAATGTCAGCTCTCCCCTGACAGTTGCAGCTTCGTATCTTATCACAAGACTTTGCTAGTCCCTTGCTGCTCACCTTACATCGACCCCTTGGGCTGCTTCAGTTCGATTTCCAGGCCTCCGTACGATCATTTTGGCCCTCTTTCTCAAAACCACCTTACCCCGCGAGAACCGCCCACCATGGCGACAACCTCCTACTCCACAGACCCGACCCTCTACCTCTATACCTCCCTGACGGCCGGATCATCTCACATTATTACCGCGACTTCAAGGCTGGAGACCATTCTGAAAGCCAACAAGATCCCGTTTCGGGCACTAGACTGCGCAACAGATGAGAAAGCGCGCATGCTCTGGGGCAGAAGATCCAAGGGAAGAAAGCTGCCGGGTTTGGTCAAATATGGCGAAATTATCGGCGTATGCGGTACCCCGGCCATCTTCCAAAACTGGCCTTTTCACTAACCAGTCTCCAGGATCTCGAGCAAATCGAAGAGTGGAACGAGTATGGAGAGCTCAAGGAACAGATTGCAGCCACTCAAGATTTTGGCGGTCTGACCACGTCCGCGAACCTGGCTCCACAAGTACCAGCGACGAGCACTGCTTCGACCCCTTCGAGGTCCGGTCCCCCCTCACGCGCCTCGTCCGAGACTCGCCACATCTCCATTGCGGAACCATCAGAGAAGGAAAAGGAAAAGAATGCGGCGGCCGGAGATACAAAGCCTGCTGCGTCCCAGAAGCCTGCTGAAAATCCCATGAATGTGGCTTTTCGGCAGTTAGGTGCGGAGGCCGCAGCCAAAGCCACCCAAAAGAAAAGCGCTGCTACTGCCCAATCTCCCAAGGCTGCAGCCGTCCCGGCAAAGGGTCAGAGCACAACAGACCAAGTCCCCACGGCTGCAGCCGATCGAGTCGGCACAGAGGCAGCGGTAGAGTCGGCCGATACAGCGGCGGAGGTCACGGCAGCCAAAACGCCAGCCCAACTCGCATCGGAAGGGGCAGCCAGAACATCTGTCGGCAAGATTGCGGAATCACAAGACAAAATCGCCGTAGATACGGCCGAGGATAGATCGCCCTCGAAAGAAGAACAGATTCTCGAGATGCGTCGGACAAGTAGCGTCACGAAGTCCAAGTCGAGGTTGAGTGACGTGACGCCCGTAGAAGAGAGCGACAAGGTTGTAGCAGAGCCGGAAGAGACATCGACCACGTCACAATCTTCGATTGCCGTGCCGGACAATGAAGTCAGCGCCAGTTCTTCTACGAGTTTATCTACGCAGGCGACGCCCCGCAAGCAGCATCGTGGGAGCGACATCGGAGAAGCGTCCCCCGAAGAGATTCGAGCGCTGGAGAAGAAGCTGAGTATCCCAGAGGAGGACGACGACGATGCGGAAGATGCCGTCGAGACGACGCAGAGCAAAGCGGCCGAAGTGTCTAGCACTGATAAGGCTGAGAATGCAGCCACAGAAGGGACCGAGCCACAGAAGACTGACCCCAAGGATGCGGACAAGGCTGGCGTCAGCGTGGGTGACTAAGTTTGGCAACGGCCGGTGATGTTGTCATCGTTGTCAAAGCTGTCAGGTTCGAATGGGAATTCAAACAGCTGGGCATTTCTCGCTGTCTTGGGGGCACAAGGCAAAGCGAGCGCAGCACGTCGCCCAAGGGCAGGGTAGGGCAGAGCAGAGCGGAGTAGAGCACAGTACCCGGGACAGCACAGTGGGATTGACTGACATGTGATGTGATGTCTGCCAGCGATTTCAATCCCCACGCAACGTGCGTAGATACCTACATCCGAGGGTACACGTTATATGCATATCTTATCGGCTGCCTTTTCTCTGTCTCTCTCTCTCTCTCTCTCTCTCTCTCTCTCTGTGTGTGTGTGTGTCTGTGTCTTTGTCTCAGATCTTTTCGAGTTCCCGGCTCCCGGCTGGCTGGACTGACTCCCCTCACACTCTGGTTCTGCCCCCCTCTGATTCCCTGTACGTGGTACACACATACCTCCCGCCCTACAGCATCGTCTGTCCCTCTCCACCTTTTTGTAGCAGAGCGAGAAAGTGAGTACTTGTTCGCGTACTCACTCGTTCACTCACGCACTCACGCACTCGGCCCTCATTGATTCGGCTAGGCTAGAGAGATAAGAGAGCCGCACAGCCAGCCAGCCTACGTGCCACGGCCTACCCTTGGTTTGACCTAATTCGTCCATTCGTTCATTCGTGTCTGGTCTGATCTGGCCTGGTCTGTGATTGGCCAAGAACAAAACAAGATAAATTAGCTACGCACAGAGATTCCGCAGCCCAGTCCAGACTCCAGATGCTGGGTCTTCTCCCAGGCAGGGATGAGGTACACGGTACGCACGCACGGTGTGAATAGATAAATTTGTTAGAGTACCGACTCCTAGTAGTATCCATTCTGTCCATCCACATCCAATCGCGGCGAGTAGCCATAGTAAACATCTTGTTTTTTCCTTGATATCATAGTCATTGTCATCTCGTGCCCTTTCCGAGGTCGGTTTCCAGGGGCGACCTGGGGTCCGTCACCACACATACCCTCCCTTCCCCACCCAGTTTTACAGTCTGGGTCGGAGTCCCTTGTCGTTCGCCCAGCCGCGTCCGCTCATTTCCACGTCCGTCAGCCGCCAGCCTGCTTCAATGGCGACCAGCTCGGCACATCGCTCCCCGATCCCCAGCACCGTCAACATCGGGTTGATGGTGGTCATGGCCGGGAACACGCCCGCATCTGCGATCCTTAGCCCCTTGAGGCCCCTCACCTTCAAGTTCTCGTCCACCACCGCTTTCTCGTCCTTGTGCACGTCTCCCATTTTGGTCGTGCCCGCGGGGTGGTACACGGTGTGCGCAACCTTTCTCGCATACTCGGAGAGTGCCTCGTCGGATTGGACTGCAGGTCCCGGGGCCACTTCGCGCTTGATCCACTCCTTGAATGGAGATTGCTGCGCGATCTTGCGCGCGGCCCTGATTCCAAAGACGAAAGTCGCGGCATCGTAACCTTCAGGATCCGTGAAGTAGCGGAAGTCTAGTGCCGGTTTGACGCTGGGGTCAGACGAAGTAAGATAAAGTTTGCCCCGGGATCGAGGACGAGGGATGTTGGGCGTCATGCAGAATGCATCGATAGGGGTGTCATAGCCCAATCTGGTCGTGTTCAAGCAGAAAGGGATCTGGTAGCAATGCATCATCACGTCTGCAATGTTGCCGTCCGGGATCGCGGCAGGATTTGTTGGTGTGGATTTCTTCCCTGCCGCATCAGGAGCTTCACGGCGGAGGAAGATGCCGGCGTCCGAATCCATGGTTGTCTGGTTTGGTGGCACCGGTCGGTTGAGCTCCCAGATGATGATGGTTTCCGGGTGGTCGAGGAGGTTTTCACCCACACCAGGGATGTTCTTTACCACAGGGATGGAAAGAGAGGACAGTTCCTCAGCCGGTCCCAGCCCGGAGAGGAGCATCAGGCGCGGTGTGTCGACAGCACCGGCACAGAGGATGGTCTCGGTTCGTGCGGTGAGTGTCAACTTTTGGCCTGATTGGAGGGTGATGTTGACGCCTGTCACTGTGTCGTCGCGGACGTTGATCTTGGAGACCCAGGAATTGGTCAGGATCTTGAGATTTGGTCTGTTTTCCTCGCCCCTGAGGATCGGATGAATATAGGCCACACTGGCGCTGGATCTCCGACCGTCATCGGGATTATAGCTGACGGAGAAAAAGCCC